AAAAGTATTTACATAAAAACTAAAAAAAAAAAAAAGATTATTGAATCATAAACAAATAGATGTCGACAAAGTTTGTTAAAGTTATTGGAAAGATATGACATTAACGACTAAATAACAAACTTATATATATATATATATATATATAAAAAAACAGCATATCACATCGCTTCAAAATGTTAAGATGAAATATTTATTTGTTTTATTATTTATATATTAATTATTTTATCATTTTTAACTAACGTGAATTCATCTTAAACAGAGATATATCTTAAGAAAAAATATCTTGTGGGTCAAAACTATGTTCGCGAAAATTCTGAAAGCATTAAATATATAAAAAATATATATATTTTTTTAAACGATTTTATTTATATATTATTTTATATATATGAAAAAAATAAGATTAAGGGAACCAAAGATTCCTAAATTTATACTAAACTCTTCCATTGATCTTGAATTTCTAACCATCTTTTCTAGTTTTTGACTTTCTTTATTTAACAATTATATCAAAACTAAGGTTATGAGTTTGATTTGGACATGTGTTTAAAAAAAATATTATTGTGAATGACACTATTGTTTCCATAAAACTAGGTGGGACAAATTGAAAAATATAATTATTAGTGAGATAATTATTTAAAAAAAAAATTTTACATATGAAAATGAGATGAATCATTTATTAAATTATGATATTTTAATTACTATAATTTTAAATAAAAACAAGTTACTTTTTAAAAATTGTAATTTTTCAATTACTAAATAGAGTTCAATCCAAACAATACAAATATTTCCATTTTATACTATTATCATTTTAGTAAAATGAAAACATTCAATACAAATAACTTAAAACTTTAGAAGTTTAGTACAACGCTGGAAGCAAAACAATATAAAAGTAGTAATTTTAGTTTATTTTATTTGAAACGAGATTCTTGGGAAAGAAAATAGTTGAAGAGGTTCGAAATTGCAAAGGTACGCACACCAAAAGCATAACCAAGTTTGACAAAAATAGTACAAAAATGCTGATAATGCCGTCCGAATACGATGCCAGTGGGAATATTATAGTAAAACCGAACAACAACGTTGCTAATGTGCATAAACTATTGAAGAAACACGAACATTTCGGAGAGATTAAGATGCCACATATATAAACAAAGAGCAGTGATGAGAAAAGAGCCACGTCGATTAGGAGTATTAATTAATGAAATTGTGATTAAGAAATGTGAATGGTACCAAGTTAAACAAGATTCAGAGACACATTAGACTTGTTAAGGTTCACAAAATCATTCGCTTGTATTTAAAATTCTGACCAAGTCAGAACAACGTTGGAGGGGTGTCATGGATGATGATGATTCACCTTTTGCAACAACAAATAAATTAAATCATAGTTTATTCAAATCAACCAACTGAAATCATGTGACATAATATTATAAGCCCAATCAGAGAGATGTAAAATCCACTGGAATCTTGCTGTCGCTGCTACCAGTACTATATTTCGATTAAGAAACCAAGAATGCATGTCTCAACTATTTTTCATCACTGTTAATATCTTATGTAAGTGCAACCATTGGTATAATTATATTCTAAGATGCACTGGCCATACGGCCACATAGAGGACGGATCGTCGAGGGACAACTGACTGAACAGGATGATGTTAGCCTTATCACGTCTCAACCTTACACCCAAAACATAAGATAAAATATGTTATTGGTATAAGATTTTTAACATATTTTTTATTCATTTTAAATTTAACTCAATGTAATAAAACTAATTTTCAAAACAAAACTTGTACTCGTTTGTATATTATATATTTATTCTATACGGAATCTTAACATGTCAACCTTTAAAAAAATGGATCATTGCATGGTAAGATTGAGAAGCTTGATTTCTGACCTGGGATATTTGAAAAATGGTGAGAGAAAGAAAATGAGTTGTAAATTGAATCTGGATGGAGTAGATGGGAAGATATTATTGTTAATGGAAATGACACCGAGAGAGAATTAAAAAGTTGTGATTGTGATGGTGCTTATGCAATATGCAATTGATGAGTTATTATTATTGAAGAAGAAATTGCATATATGGTGGATATGACCTTTGATCTAATCGAGAATCACATGCTGCATCTATTAGTTTATTGTCATAGTCCTGTTCTAGGGTTGTGTATTTAGGAATCCGATATCTATCAATCTTAAATCAGATGCCATTTAGTTTTCATAATCGATTGATGCACTTGTAAATAGCAATCATCAATCAAAGGTAGCAAGAAAAAACATCTACTGTCATCTTAATTGTTTTATAAGCACTCGTGAAGCAAGTTACCTTAACATTAAATGAATTTCGTGTAAATGAGTTTAAGAATAAGAGTAAGGAACTTTTGGGGTTATCAACAACTGCTAATGAAGGTATATAGTAGATAGTGCTTTCTAAAACACATTACAACGTATATTAAAATATATTACAAAGTATATATTTAATATTTTGTTTTCTATTTTATGATTTAACTTTGCATGCTATGCTAAGATTGATATTTTAACACACACATATTTCCGATTTGTAATAGGATAAGATTAGAATCCAAAGAAATCTTGAAAGAGACAGAGGCACAAAGATAAATCCATCTCTACCAATCTCGCACAAAATCCTAGAGATAACCACAATGGAATTATATTAATTTCATGGCTAAAATATTTATGGTGATATTATAAGGTTTTTTGTTTTAAAATTAAATGATCATTGTGTTTGCTAACTTAATGTCCTGATACTTTTTGTTAAATTAATTCAATCTTTTTTATTAGTTATCAAATCGGAGGAAAATTTCGTTTTCTAACTTATACTACATACTTTTTTTTTTAACGATGAGGGCCCAGGGCCCAAAAGCTACCAATCAATAATATACCTTACTCTCGCAGGCAGAGGCCATTCCTAAAATTTTCTCCCCGTTACTTTATTTTTTTATTATTAATAATAGTTCATGCATTGAAGTATGAGATAAGAATTTGGCATGATAAGCTTATTAATTTTTATCATGTCAATTCTTCATTTAATGAGTTATGGTTGATTAATAGTGTCAATTTCTTTTACACTAAGTATAAATTAAACTAAACAATATTTCATTAAATATTTTCTTGCATTTCATGTGCTTTTTTTTTATATATAAATAACACTTCTATTTACAAAGACACGCAAGAATTCTTATAAAAACAAAAGTTGTGAAACGCTGAAATTTTGGTATTTTTTTGGGCGACATGCACCTTCTATTGAAATTAGTGACCTTAGGATAGGAAACATTTTAAAACTCTATATAAAAATATTTAATGTAGTTGTAAGTCTATAGTTTAATCAAGACCAAAGTGGTTTTAAACTAGTAACTGTTAACTTCTGAAATACTTATATTGAGAATGTGTATAAATAGACTTAAAATTTATTGCTGGACTCTATTTTCTCTCTTTAAAAATACTTATATTGAGAATGTGTTAAAATGGAGGTAAAAATAATCATAGAGAATGTGTAAATAGTGTAAGTTTTTGGTTAGGATAATGAGAGCCCAAATTTTGTTGGGTATTTCCTTCTACATCAGTGAGTAGAATGGTACGATCCAATACAATGTTCAATCCTGCCCGCCCTCAAGTATAAGCTGCAACACTTTTTTTAATAATTAATACCACGGACTTTCTTCCTTTCTTTCCCCACCTCGAAGTTTTCTTTTTACACCTCCAAGTTCTATTGTGATGACAGAAATAACCTTCTAAAATATATATAAAATATAAAAAATTAAGTAAATAGCAATTGCTGGATACCAAAAAGGTATTAACTGTCGATCTATATTTACCGAAGGCATCACTCCGAAGACCTATCTTAACGTGTTTTTTTGTCTTCTCTCTTGTAGTGGTTTCCATTCGCATTTCTTTTTCGTTTCAACAACTTTGTTCTTCCACTTAGTTTTCCTTCATCTTTTCATTACATCTTGTTCATCTTTCAAGTGTAAGCCTTTTATTGGTTAAATTTGATTTAAAATTTTATATTTATTTTCTTTGAAATCTATATTTATTTATTATATTTGGTATATTATGAACTTCAAAATCTGATTTAGAAAATTCATCAGATTTCAAAACACAATTTAAAAAATTACAAGATTTCAAAATTTAATTAAAGAACTCATCAGATTTTGAAGTCTGATTTAAGAATTCAATTAATTTAAAAATTTAGTTTAAAAAATTTCAAAATTTAGTTTAAAATGTCACCAAATTTCAAAATTCGATATTCACTAGATTTTAAAATTTAATTTAAGAAACTAATCAGATTTCAAAATCCAATGTAGAAAGTCATTGGATTTCAAAATCCGATTTAAGAACTCACTGGATTTCAAAATCTAGTATTCATAACTATGATTTGACACAAACTTTAGTTGACAAAAGGTTAAGTTCTACTAAACAACCATTATTTGTTAATACGACTAAGAGTCAATGAAACCTAAAAACAATATTCTTACTCTAAAAAAATTAATTGTAAAAGATACACCCATCAAATTTTATAATAAAGACAAAAAAACAAAGATCAAGATATACCTAAATGATATTGCTAGATGTCATTAGGCACTAGAGCAATATCATGATCTTCAAAAAAACAACCCACAATTGCATTCTCAACTGCTAAAGCAAAATATATAGTTGTAACAAGTTATATTACACAAGCAATATGGATAACAAGAATGCTTGAAACGATGTGTCAAAAGCAAAATACTCCCACAATGATATTTTATGATAACAAGTATACAATTGCACTCCAAAAGCCCAATTTTTCATGGATGATCCAAGCACATAGATATCCAATATCCCAAGATTTAAGAATTGATAACCGAGAAAGAAATAAAAATCAAGTAATGTCCCACTGAAAAACAAGTTGCTAATATTTTTAAGACCTGAAAGTTGAGTTATTTTTCAAGTTAAAGAAAATGTTTGAAATGGTAGAAATTTGATTTTTAAGAGAGGCAATATTAAAGTTAAATCAAGTGCATAAGTGGAATTTTCAACACCAACTAAAGTTTGTACAACCCGTGAATGCATTACCAAAAGCTTGTGTTTTGTTTTGTGCCCTTTTTTCTTTCATAAATAAGTCACCAAGGTGACGCATATTGTGTGTGAGCAACAAAAAATAATAAAAGGTCTGGGTTTAAGATAGAAAGTGAGTTCTTATACATGTCTAATAAAAGGTCTGAGTTTACGAGAGAAAGTGAGCTCATTGTGATTTTTATGTGTCCCAATGATATCAAACTAAAAGGTTAAAATTAGAATTTTAAAATGTATGGGTGCAGGATGAAGTTATGGAGGTGCAGGAAGAAGCTGCCTTCTGAAATTGATGGTAATTTATGGAGGCGCAAGAAGGAAAAACCCTCATCATTGTTGGCATACATTCAAACAATGTTTCTATTTCAGTAAGGCCGTATATTTGGCTTACATACTCCAACTAGGCTCCACCCATCTTATCCCGAGTTTGGCAAGGGAATAAAGGAGGTCTTGTGTAGTTTAACTACTGTCAGTTGTGTCAACAGAAGTCTTTTATTAGTGGTTCTAACAAATGTTAGTGTTCTAACAAAACGTAAGAAACTAAAAAGTGATTGTGTACCTTACCCTTTCGAAATTAAACAAAGTATTTTGGCTCTCATGTTTTTCATTACACTTGAAAATAGGCAAGTCAAGACTTCAACTGTAATAAATTAAACCAACAAAAGACAAATGAAAACCTAGGGTGGTAAATGTAACTTAAAATTGCATATTTTTCAACATACAGTGACGACATTACAAGGTAGGCAGTGCGCTTTCACCTAATCATGCACAATTAACTAATGCAATCATTGAACAAGGTGATAGTATCTTTTATTATATATACCAAATTTTAGATAATTTAGACATCCAAAGGTAGGTTTATATGAAATTATATTTTTATCAGAACAGTACACAATCAAAAAGATTGTCTGATGACTTATAAATTAATTTTGTAATTATATGAAATTCGTAACTTTATTTATTTCACAAATCAGGCGCATAAGAATTTTAAGCCCCCAATTAGATTGACAAAATTTATCACACAAAAAATTCTATCAACCAACGCAAGTATACCAAGACCCTATGTTTGGCACATTTAATACTTAAAAAGAACTTCTTTTCCATGACGACAAAGCATATAGAAAAGAGGCTCTAAGTTGTGGATGCCATTCAATACATAAGGTCTGGCTTTAACCATTTTAAGTATTTTTCGTACACAAAACATATTCCGTAGAGTTAACTGCAAGAGAGCTCAATGACAAACCTTGGCACTGAATAGTGTTTATTTCTGGCCCTTTCATTTCTATCCCATCATCATCCAGCAGAATCACACCTGATGAAGTTATCTTAAAAGGGAAAGCCAGAGGAGGTGATATGGGAGATTTTGCCAACTTAATAAACCTTTGACCTGCGAGGATTTAACTTTTCAAAATAAAGTATTTGACACAGACACAGAATCATATATTACTATAAATATATGGTGGTTATTGAAAGTTGTTAGAAAGTAAGAATCCAAAAATAATTATGTGTATTGCTTCTGTTAGACCCAATTGTATTTGTCGACCATTTAAAAATTGCATTATACTAGTACCTGACCTAGACACCCGTACAAATTTGATTTTCATCTTTTTTATTCCAGGATATCTTTATAAGTTGTTTAGAAACTAAAATAAGCTAATATAAACGACCAAAATCATTAATATAAATTTGGGTATACGGTCGTCAATGTTGTGTCAAAATTATTCAGACCCTCTATGGAAAATTCTAATATTGTGTTTCATCCCTATCTCTTTCTCCTCCAAATGCTATATTTTGCTTTCCTGAAGCTTTGATCACTTAAATATGTTTAACCAAAACTGATCAGAATTTCGACTAAGAATGGAGACATTTAATAAAAACATCTGCATAACATTCTATTTTACAAACATATTGACGGGTAATTAAAATATGATTAAACACCAATTTATATAGATTAAAACAAATAACGATGTAGAAGACTCCAAGGACAACTGAACTTGTTATCAATTAATGCGTACTGGGTGTCCTGGAAGTAATTCCCATGACTTGAATTCACAACCTCCACTGTAATCCCCACCCACTCCAACAATTTAAGTCGTATCTACATAATCACTTACAAAAAAAAATACATAATAAAATCAAGAGGACTCAAATCATTGCAAACTAACCAACCTGATCTGGCTTCGAGTACAAGACGGATGGTCACAGCATGAGCCCAGTTAATTCCCAATGCAGCAACAAGATGAGAATCATATGTAGCAGGGTTATCTTTTATTATAGAGCGGCTTTGTGCTGTTTAAAAGTATAATGAAACGTAAATCTAATAGTTCAAAGTTATCTAGACCCAGATGGCTAATTTAAGCAACTAAAAAAGTAAGATTTTATTGGAAAATAAATTAATATATTCTTTCCAATAAAAAAACTTATCTCTTTTATGTTCTTAAAATCATCTGACCCAAAATATAATTTATTTTATCATACCTTGAAAGGAATATATGCGAGATTCATCACCAGATTGAGATCTTACTTGATTTGTCAATACAACTGGAATTCGTGAAAATTCTGCAAGTGACCTGGATACATTCAAAATCAGTACCTCAGAAAACGCATGCACTTTCTAATTGCAAAAATATCAGAAGTGACAGTCGAGATGCTGGTACTGTTCATACTTGATAAAAGAAACATGCCAACCCAATGCTTGTTGTCTAGTGGTTCCACACTCATGCTCACTGAACAGAAAAATTGAAGGATTCCAATACAGGAGACATTAATGACAGGGAGGATAATATAAAAATAAATACAATTTTGCTGAACCTTCAAAGTGAGCATCCTCGACATATGATCCACAATCAATGCCAAAAAAAGTTAAGCTCACCCTAATACTAGAGCAGCCATGCTATCAATGATGAGCAATTTCACTTGTTGCTGGAGGAGTGATACTTTGATCTGGTACAAACTGGCAGTGTTAACACGTCATTTAATATATTAACAGTTTGAGTTGTCTGATAGAAACCTAGAAAGACGAATAAAAAGGAGCTACAAGCCAATAACAAATCTTCTAGCATAATCTGCAGCATGTTATATGTAGCGAGTTTGACACTAAAAATTTGTAGATTTTGGTAAAGAGCGTCATGGATCAGACACAACCTTGAAGAAGATCAGAAATCCAATTGTCATATCTAGTTCTAGTCTACTTATAAATTAGTGAGAGCTTTGCTCGTTGATGAGTTTACTGAAGAGTTTTTAAAATTAAAGATTTTAACAAATAGTAAGTCCCTAAAAAACAGTCATTTTCTGCTAGAAACCAGGGGCAAAAAGACAGTCCTGATACAGTAGGTCAGATGTATTAGTAACCCGTTCAGTGTAAGTGCAGAGAGGATAAAATCATATTTATGAACAAAATCAAAGATATTGACTAAAATCGCCTAGTAGCACTCCAGTCCATTCTGAAGGCTAATCACGATACACCATGTCCATTTAAATGATATTGAGCATAAAGTAATACCTCATACGTATGTAACCTATAGTAATTAACAATCATTGAATCCTTGATTATATCAAAACAACCCGGTCTTTCTTCACTTTTTCCCAAAGAGCAAAACTATTAATTATCCCGTTTTTGCTTTGCCTTTTTAAATTAAAGCCTCAATACTTTTAATGTCCATCCTCTAGTATTCATAATTTTCTCTAAACTATTACATTAGCTTTTGAAGACTGCGTAGGTTTTCTTGAACAAGAATAAACTTCAGTAAGTTTTCATCTTTTGAACCTTTTAATAAAGTAACTAATTCTCTTATAGTTCTAATATATCAATCTGTTGATTGCAAAGACTAACTACAAATAAGTAGTAGAAATCTGCACCTCTCAGCAAATTCAGAAAGTGATGTAGGACGCAAAATCAGGATTCTACCAGCCATCTGCAATGAGTCAAGTAAACATCAAGTTCAAATTAGATACAAAACCCATTAAACTGGACAAGAAATGAAACAAGTGAAACAACCTGCATACCTCCTGTGCCATTCCCTTCTTATGAAATATTTCAGGAAAACTGTTTATTCCAATCTCTATCAATCTGGATAAAAAAAAAAGTAAATTCAACATGGAAGATATACTATAATTTTTCCATCAATACACATAACAGTAAATTGCTTGCAATGCAAGCTTCGCCTACCTTTTTGACCTAAATTTGGATTCAATATCAATATATATCACACGGCCATCTAAGCCTCCACAACTCGCGGGCAGCGAAGCCAGTAGTGACAGCTTCAAGCAAAACTGTGTCATAAAATCTATGCAGCACGGTTAATGGTTAAAGGCATCCTGGTATGAATTTAAATGTTAAATGTTGCAAAACCAATCTTATACCTGTGTTTTGCCAATTCCTGCTGGACCAACCAACTCTGTCAAAACACCAAAAGGTATACCGCCGCACAACGCGTCATCCAAACCTTTCAAACGAGTGGGAAGATGACCGGCCAAAGTCTCGTTGCGTACTCGCTGCTCCAGCAGTAGTAACGCCTATTACAGTATCACCAAAACATTCAGTAATTCCTAAACAAATTGGAAAAAATAACAGGAAAATGTGTAGAATATGTACAGTTTGACACGGTGGACACACGACTTCGCTAACGTGCGCCATTGCGGATGTTACTTCTTCCTTCCCAACGTCCAACAACTCCATCAACTCAAATTCAGTGTGAGACAATGCATCCTGCAATTTCAAGGAAACAAATAAAAATAATAATAATTGTTACATTCAATTGAATTGACGAAGGAGAAAAACGTTGAAGTTCTAATCCATTCTAGTGACAAACAAAGAGCAAGCTATTTAGATTATGCATATCAACGATCGATGATAAGACAAACGGTATTTTGGACTAGAGATTAAGTTGAATTCATGGGAAACAGAATGCGACAAGCGATTAGGGTTTAGTATGATAGGAAATGGAAAATGGCAATGTGAGATGTGAATAATAGTAATGCTAGTGAAGAAAAACGAAAATGAGATTTCGAAAGAGGGTGGAAATGGCTACCTTGGCGGTGATGATGTTGCGAGCAGTGAAGATATTGGCTATGGATTTGGGCAATCCCATCTGGTTGATGAGCTTGTTCGCCATTTTTCGCTCCTTTCCTCTTTCTATTGTTCTTCTCTCATCCTTCCCTCCAGTCAAAACTAACTGTAATTGCTTTGATATAAATTTTTATGAGATTACTTTTTTTTCCAATAAGAAATATAAAAGAATATTTGATTTGCATATTATTTATAACTAGGTAATTTAGGATTGTTTTAGTAAGAATTAAAAAATATTTTTTCAGTCAAATTCCTTTTTTTTTATATTAAGATAAATTTCACTTTCACCTTATTATCATCATAGTAAATAATTTCTTAAAGATCAATATCAATCGATATTATCTAATTCTTTTTGGATCAATATTAAAATATTTATTAAATGGTGTCAACTACAATTTTTTCAATCAACATCAACATATATTATATATGTGTTATACTTTTTAGTTAATCTGATTTAGGTTTTCTTATATGCAATAAAAACTTATATTAGAGTAATTTCTTAACTAACATTAATTATAATTTTTCAATTAATATTAATATAAAAAATTATCTATGTCAATTAAGATTCTTTTATTCTGTTTTTTTATTAGTGTAAATTAAAGTTCCATCTGTGTACAAAAAACAGCTTGTACAGTCTCTTTGTCAAGTTTTTCATTTATAAAAAGAGTATCCATTAAGATAGAAGAACTAATCTATAACTTTTCGTTCATTCATTTAACTTAAAACCATTTCTTCTCATGCTCACTCGTGTAGTAAAATGTGTGAGGGGTTCAAAAAGCTTGTGCTAAACAGACTAACTTTAAGAAGTTGTCATTTTAACTTTCATATAAAATAAGATGTACTTGCTAAAATACTTCTAAATAAAATCAAGAACATTTGTATATAATATCATGAGATTTATTAATATAGATTCATTCTTTAAAGGAACCATTTAGAAAATTCCAATTTTGATTTTTCTCATACTAAAACATTTTTTAAAAAAAAAAGTTGATGGAGATTGCAAATCCTAAGAAAAGGATTTTGACAAGTTAATCCTTCTATAAAAGAAGTGTGTTGTCATATTTGGTTTACACATATATGTTAAGACAAACAGGACAAGAAAAGTAGATAAAAAAAACACGTGTCTCTTCTTAGCTGCTCGCCAAAGGCAATGATGGAAAGAACCTAAGCAAATACAATATAGGTAGTTAGGACAAATATTCTGTCAACAAAAAGAGAGTTTCATTAAAGAGTATTATGGATAAAATCCATGATAGATAATTGGTACTCGAGGATATTTACTATTCGCGGTTGTAGATAACGAGTTTTTTAATATCCGCTTATAAACAAGTTGGGTGCGGATGTTATATTATTCGTATCCGCGGATATTCGCTATCCGCAAAAAATAAAAATAAAAATTTAATTTATATTTTATTAAGTTAAATTTAATTAAAATTAACATTAATTTATATTTTATAAGGTTAAATATAATTAAAATTAAATTTTAATTTATATTTAATTTAATATATATTATATTTTATATATTTTTTGTAATTTTATTTAAGTTTTATTATAATATTTTTTAAAAATATATTTTTTTAAATATTTGCGGGTATCCGCGAGTATCCAAGATATCCGCGGGTTTTAAAATATCCGCAAGTATTTTTTAAGCTGATATCCATGCAGATAGCAAGTCGGATAACGGATGAACTTATTTTGTCGAATCGAGTTGCAGATAGACACTATCATGTCCGACGCGACCCGTTGTCATCTCTAATCTTCATATAATACCGCTCTTCCTCGAATGTAACTTTTAACACCTTTAAAAAGTGTTTTTAAGCTTTCCATATCTACATCCAAACTTTGTGAAGAGCCACACCCGTTATAAAATAAAATTCTTAAGAACCCAAGGGCATAGAAAACAAAGAAGCTGAAAAACATAACACGCCTAAGGTTTCTCTCCATTGGCTTGCGATTTTTCATCAACCAATTTGATTCGAAAGAGTACATGAACCATTACCGGAACACCCAAAAGAAAGCTCGTGATGAAAACAAGAAAAAAACAGTTTAAGAAGAGATCGGGACTCTAACAACAACAAAAAAACAGATTTATCACGTTTACAATTGCATGCAAAGTATACAAACCAAAGAAAATGATTAAATAAAAAAAATGCTTACCTGAAATCAGAACGAAGAAGAAGAAGAGATGTTATAGCAGAGAGAGATGGACAGGATGAAAAGAGCAAAGTATTGGTTCTTCGTGCTTTTATTAGACAGAGGTGATGAAACAGAGGAGACAACATGCATGTTCTTCAAAGAAGAATAAAATGAGTTTGCTTGTTTATAATCTTTATGAACAAATTATATTCTTTGGGCATTTAGTTTGATATAAGTTAGTTAGATATACATTCTACAGGTTTTATTTTTTATTTTTAAAAATGATGAAAGTTTACTTTTTTATAATTATTTTATTTTTTTAAGACAAGTTAAATAAATAGGAATGTGTATTATCCTATCATTTTATAATTTTGGAAACTAAAATATAGTAAAAGTAGAATTTGTTTATGTATTATAAAGTATAATTTTTATATATAGTTTGTATTTTTTGTAAATTAATTTTATAGTCAAAATGATAATTTATGCATATATATTCTTTCTTCATTTTGTTTCTTTGAAATGACTAAGTAAATACTTTCAAACTTATCAAAATATACAAATTAAATTAAGTAATATTAAGGTATCAATGTTCATCATATCTGTAACTGATTGCAACTTTTCTCCTAAAAAAGGTCAAGTTTGTTTCTTCAATTAAAACTTTAATTGTGCCTTTCTTTTTAAGACAATGCATTCTTAATATTACAATAGGATCGAGAATTGATGATTGAATAATTCCTTTAATTCAATTGTTATGTTAGAGGATTAAAAATTCTATTGTTATTATTATTATGAAGTATTTGATTATTGTTGATTTAATAAGTATGTTTATATCATGTTATTATGAGTGTTTTATTTTAACCATGGAGTTCTTATGAGTTAGGCTACCGAAAAACAAATGCATTTTGGTGATATGAGTAGTCAAATCAATTTCTTTAAGCTATCATTCAACTCTATAGTCCCATACCTACACAGTCTCCAGATCTCTCTCATTCTGGTATATGTTCGATTCATTCATGTGTCCCTTCCACTCGAAGCCTGCCAGGAGCCGCTCCTTGTCTGTGCCCCTGCACCATGTCTCTTGCACCGACGTCACTCCTGGCCCTCGTCTCAGTGCCCGGGTGTCACAATTATATTTTAGGCACGTTTAAAACTTGAGATTTTTGAAAATACATTTGTGTGTTATGTTAAAATTTGAAATTTTTCCGTTTTTGAATAACCGTGACATCCTGTAATTTTGGGACACTACAAAGTGCATGGTCTTTAAGAACAAGTCAATACATCAATTCTCTAGATATTGTTTCATTGATTATCATATATGTTTTGCACCGTGTGCAAAAGATAACATAATATTCTTTTGAATTATATATAATTAACTTCTAGTAGTTTTCTTTTGAATATTCTTCCATGTTTTAGTTTTGGTTATTAAAAAAGTAACATTTTATATTGTGAATTTTGGTTGATAAAATCATGTAAATTTCAGTAGAAAGTTTTAGATGTTACTTTTTGGAAGGTTAACAGGATAACAAAAATACTCGTATATATTAATATTTGTGGATAAAATTTGTAGCGAATAGTTGATACTTACATATAGGAATAACGATTATTTTAATATCTGTTTATAAACTGATCGAATACATATATCATACTACTCGTACTTACGAGAATCAATTAGCAGCAAAAAAATTAAAATTAAAATTTAATTTATATTTTGTTAAGTTAGATTCAATTGAAACTAAAATTAATTTATATTTTATTAGTTAAAATTTATTTAAATTAAATTTTAATTTATATTTTTTTGTACTATTATTTAGATTTTATTTTAAAAGATTATAATTTTTTAAAAATATTTGTAAATACCTACTAATATTTTTAAACCAATATCTACTAATAAATAATAGGTGAATTTTTTTTTCAAGTAGGATTACAAGTAGATATTATCTTTTGTCTAACCCAAATTGTCTGTTTTACTAATGGTATATATATATATATATATAAATTTTTTTTTATCAAAGTAAATTTGTTAATCAAATTTCCCATTTTTTATATTTTGTTTACTATGTATTATACACTAAAATATTATATGGTAGAAATATTATAAGTTGGAAAACTAAAATATAGAATTTTAATGGAAATTAAAAAAAATGTCCTTATTTTTTCAAAAATTTATTCTGTACATTCACTTTTTAAATGATATTTTTGTAATATTAAAATAAGTAAAACGTATTATTAAAATAATATAGATGTCATATTGAGTAAAAGTAAAAAATGTGTGCACTTTTATATATATATATATATATATATACTGTTTCTTATACACATATTTCTGTTAAATATTACTTTTAAGTATTTGGACAACAAGACAATCTTTTAGAAAGTAACACTATACAAATTTATTAAATAACAATTAGTTTAGAAAAAAATTTAATCGTAATATTAAATAAATTAGATATTTTATAAACAAAAAAATATTAATTTCTAAAATAATGTTTGTCCTCCCCATTCCAACATACATAAGCTTTTTTAATATGAAACTCTCACACCTACGTCTATTAATAGTAATATCCATGTATCGTAGTTAATTTCGACGGTTTGATATTATGATGAGATATCATTGTGTTATTATTAAATACACTTGTATTATATAATTGAGGTAAACATTATTCCAAAAATAACATAGGTCCATAACATATATGTTGATCCTAGAAATACAATTTTTTATTTTTTAAGGAATACTCACTTCATAATTACACATATTCATTATATTTATAAAGATTCTAAACTCTCTTATTGATTTAACTATTAGAAAGTATTTTGCATATGGATCACATTCTTTCTATAGCAAAGAATCTCATGCAAAAGTCCTAAAAACTACCGTTATCAAATTCATGCTCAAGATTTTGGTAAGATGAGTCTATATTACTAATATTGAACAATGTTATTCCTTTTCAAAATATAGGTGAAT